AGCCATTTCCTCACAATCGGCAATGTTGCCCATTCTATGACAGTGGAACGATGCTCCTGCTTCAGACATTCATTTCCATGATTGGATTATGTTGATCCGAGTTGATTTGGCTGAGCTACGCTCATACAAGGTTACTTCAGTTGAGCAACATAGAGCATGGTTAGATGTGTGGATTGATGTAATCCCTCTTTGGCTGTATCTCGGTCAAATCAACTCGGATCAACATAATCCAATCATGGAAATGAATGCCTGAAGCAGGAGAATCGCCCACATGTCATAGAGTGGACAACAGTGGCTATTGTGAAGAAATGGCTATTAGCTCGCAATGTACGGGCTTTTGTCAACAGTATATAGTATCATCCTTCCATCCTTCCAGTCATGCAAAGTAGCTGAGTTACACAAAGAGGTCCCTCTGCGTCTTTTGCTCTGCCAGGGTCCACCTACTTGACAATGAACAAAGACCACTTCTCATATAGCATCACGTTTACAAACATAAAGGTGCCTGTATCTCCGAACTTTACAATGAAACGTGGGGTTTTTATTAGAGCAATGGGCTCGGCTTGGCCAACAGCACCTTGTGTGAAAGTTTCCCGTTCAATGTCGCAACTAGCCCAAAAAATAGTTTTTTGGTCGTCGTCGTCGAAGAGGTCGACCCCCAGATCCAGTTTGGCTGGTGGCGACATTTGCGAAATCTGGGATTGGCAGCCACGATCGTGAAACTACCACACATGATCCAGTTGACCCCGCCGAGCAGCTTCGTCCTTTTAAAGACCCCAACATTAATTGTAAGATTTTGAGATATAGGACTCTTTATGTTTTACTATTGCAAGCGTGATGGTATATGGAAAGTGGCCTTTGTTCATTGTCGATAACCTCACTCGTATTAGAATCAAAGATGCACAGGGGCGTGTTTGTGTCACAAAGCTTCGGGAGGACGCGACTCGAACGGGTTGATCCTATTGGTGGAGGATGCATGATCATATTGCGATGCGTCTTAAACTGTTGCGTGTCTCTACACACAAGTACAAACAAAAGGGGATAAGTATACAAATGAAAGCAGGCACAAATACGCGGTGTGCAATAAAAAGGATGACATACCAAAGACAAAGACAATGTGTGGGGAAATAAAAGTGTGTATACGCGCGATACAAGAACAGAGAAATAGATAACTACACTAAATGATCCGCCATCAACATAAGTATCTTCATCCTAGTAGCCCTGACGCCGTCCTTGATATACGTACGATGAATGTGGGATCTCACGCTGGATAAAGAAAAACGCTGTGTCAAAAGAAATGTACGTAATCGAGGAAAAAGATATCCGTTTTATTACTCAAGCAATGTATTATTGCTTATATATGTGTGGGTAGGGTGTGTGTCTAGCTGGATTTGGGTAATGTCACAAGGCGGCTATACGATGACCACAACAATCAATCGTTCCCCTGGTGCCTTCTGCCGATAATAATAAGGTCCGCGTATGATAGCTTATATGGCTTGGTCTGTTCTTATACAAGGTTGCATAATATAGTGTTAGCTGAAAATTATCGTATGGTATGTGAAGCATTGTATCACAACTCACTCTTTCTTAGACATAATGAATCAATCTTACAATGAACCAAGCTTCTGTTTATGCAAGCAGTATGCTAGGCATCATCGCTCTCCAATTATTATCTTGCATTACAATCGTCTGAGGATCTCCCCTGCTTCTCATCTATCAGTACGTGAACTATGATAATGAAAGCAATAATGTGACAGAAGAACACAGCCTCTCGATACGATGATGTACATAAATGATCCAATCTCGCTTCCCGACCATCAAATTTCTATTCCCCCTTTCAATCCGAAAACCAACCAAATGATCCACATCTTACACACATAACTTTATAGTCCTAAACATCATATTGAATCCATTTTTCATTCAATGAAAAAGTCGAAGAATAGCACATTGTAGTCTGGATGTTTATAATGTAAATATGAAGATAAAGGAACAGCATTGCATATTGAATAAGATACGGGGGATCATGTAGAGGTAACAGAGAATAATGTGTCATTGTGTTCTTGGTTGCTGCCGTCATAAACGTCCTTCATCCATGATTGCAAAGTAGCTGGTGCATGCATTGACTTGAGTATTCCACTATCATTCATCGCTGTAAACACCTTTCATCAATTCCATTCCATCCATCATCATCCTCAGCGGTATCCACGTGATATGATCCATCGTTCATGCTTGGGCGCAACCAGTAATCACCATGGTCCACATCACTGCATTGATCGAATTCATCCATAATAGCCATTGCAAGTCCAATAAAACACGCCTCTGTGATCGCTGCTGATACGCTTCCATTCCATTCTGCCCTTGGCCTTTCGCTTGTGTTGGTCACTTTCCATCCTAGCTCGACCAGCTGTAGATTGCTTGTATTGCGGCGCAGCTGATGGCTGGTATGGTGTCATCCAAACTTGACATACGTTGTATATGGGCCACGGGAACCAAACCGGCCAATGTGTCCATTCCTTCCATCCATGTACCAAAGCAATACGGTATCCATATCCGTAGCCATAGCCATAGAACTCGTATGAAGTACGTTGCCACACGTAAATAAAGCTGCTTCTAGATAACGGCTATCTGCTGTTCGCGTGAAAAAGGCTGCTGCAAGTGAAGTGAGAGATCTCGCTAATAGCAACTGTTGTAATGAACATTGTTATGTTTGATTGTGGTCGAGGATTGTACAAGAGTTGGTGAAGTGTCAAGAGACTCGTGTGTTGTAGAAGAGTGACAAGGCTGTGTACACGCCATGGACTTGCCATTCAGTCCAAGACAATCGGATCAAGACAATTGTAGGATTGACATGATGGGTTGAAGCAGGACAAAGGTGGTAGTTGTGCTTGAATGGGGCCAGCAGTTGAGAATGGGAACAAGAGGGAAGAAGTGGAAATTAAATAGGTAGGACATCACTTGTATGGATGCATGAACACTGTACATCAACCTTTGATTATGAGATTGCCCCACTCGAACCTAAAACTTTCACAGAAGGTACTCTTGGACATGCTGATCAATATTGTATTAAAAAAGACATCGTGTTCATTAGAAAATATTGAATGGTAGAGTGCAATGTGGGATTTACTATGTACGTAAGTCGGAAACCGCGTCAGGGTGCAGATTCATGATTTATCGAAATAGTATGTATTACCTTGGGATTGCCCATTTTAAACGTGAAACTGGGTCAGGAGGTTCGATGGGACATGCTGATCAATGCCATTCATTTTAAAATCATACGCTTCATTGTGAGAGTTTTTGAAAAGCAAGTACACCTTTATGTTTTACGTACACTAAGCGTGTTGAAGCTGTTTATGTCCAGAACACTATTATAGCAACTTTCTTAATGCAAATCTAAAAGCATTCTATGTATGCAATGAAGAGGAGACACGATATTCGCTTCATTATAAAAGTACATAAATTTATTAAGCGATCTATACACAGGTGGAAGGGGATGAACATGATGATGATAGTAGGTAGTCTATACAAGTTGCAAATCTAAATGTCCTTGAGCGAGGTCGTTTTTGATGGTACGAGCTTTAACAACTTGACCCACTTGAAGTGATTGGTTGAGATTAGCGAGCCTTGCACGCACACCAAGTTCAAGGATAGTGACGGTTGCCGATTCCATGGAAGCACCCAAGTCTGAGCGTGTGAGTGCATTGGGACGATTCACCATGCAAGTCCACAACGTATCAGAGGGTAGACGCGATACCAATTGTTGAACCCAACAGCCGATGCTGCGTTGTTGCCATGCCATCAATCGTTTCTCTCGTGCTTCAAGCTGTGGAACGAGGGTCATGAGCGTGTCATTATCAAAAGGTGCCTTTGTACCAAGCACATGCGCCTTCAATTGCCAATGAACAAGCATATCCATGTAGCGTCGTAAAGGAGAAGTCGCCTTGACATAGCCATCCTGAATACCCATCAATACGTGTGGCAAACCTGGCGTTGTAGTAGCCATGGCAGGTGGTAACAGGTTCATGTAATTCAACATGCGTTGCATTGGCAACATACCCGTGTTTGGATCACGTGCATCAAGCATCTCTTGTCGTAACTCTGCATCATCTTCGGGACGCCATGTTTGTGTGCGATGTGGAATGTCCAAGCCGTTTTCACGAGCACATTGGCTGACAACACGGCCACCCAAGATCATGGTTTCAGCTACCATTTGTCGTGCTGGTGATACTGCTGATCGATCAAGAGAGAGTCGTAATGTAGGCATCTTGGTGGCATAGCGTGGTTTGCCATTGAATTCCAATCTTGGTAATTTCAAAGGAGCATCATCCAACATGATCATTGGGGATGGGCGTATAAAGTTGAGAGCGCCATTGCGAATACGAGCCAATTGGTGTGTACGAGTGAGTTTGTAGATATCAATCAAATCCTTTTCAGCTTCCTTTGGCACTGTTGTCGTTTGTTGTTGTTGTTGTACAGCATTGTTGTTATCATGCGGATGTACAAAGCTGGTGTTCAAATCAATGTGTGGGTCGGAAATAGAGGGTGCATGGGGCGCAAGAAGTGTGTCAAGGTCATCATAATAAATCTTGTGCACTTTGTGAACCACGGAAGGACGAACGTGCCAATCAAGAATAGATCCATCGCGTGTATCAAGCTTGGCTGAGAATGAAAATGCATATTGGGATCCATCACGCAAAGTATGAGCTGTTTCGCCAAGACTGAACTTGAGTTCGCCAAGCACACTTGGCAACATGGAGACATGCATCTCGGGCATATACAAGGTCTGTACGCGTTGTTGCATGAGGGGTTCCATTGGGTGATCAGGTGGGATAAATGCTGTAGGATCGGCGATATGGATATGTAACCAACACGTGTCCTCTGAACCAGGGATCCGTTCAATCGATACACCATCATCGATCTCTTTTGCAAATGGATCATCCACCGTGTATACTGGCAACTTTCCAAAGTCGTGTCTTTTTGAATCGCATGGATCACGTGCATAGAAACCGGCACGATCAGCCTGTCCTTCAAGGAATGCCCTTGCATATCCATCCAATTCTTCTTGCGTCTTGCGAGCACGATCCGACCACAAAAACTCATCGACGAAGGAGGCGTTTTGGAAGAGGAAGAGATTATCCCATGGCTTCAACATTCCCACTTGCTTAAGAAATCGCATCGCCAACGACTTATCAACAAAGGTATCCTCCTTATAACATCCCAGGGCCTTGAGAATGGTAGGTGCATAAACATCATGTGGTGATTTCAGCGCGCTATCAGATGATTTCACCCAATCCGCCACAAAGTTGACAAAGCGTGCATCTTGCTTGGTGAAATGAATATGATGAAAAGGTTTGGTATCCTTGACAGTGCCCAGCGATTGGTGAGAGAGCTCCTCATAGAGTTGTATCAAATGACTTGCACGCTCTAGGAAGCCTGTATAGCTCTTGTCGCGTCTACGGATGGCATCCACCAGGGACGAAATCTCGCGAGTACCTTGCTCGGATCTCAATAGCCATTCCTGGGTCAATCTTACGTTGCGTGTGGGAATAAAATGGAGTGGATCATTGGCGAGATGCAGAAATGTAATATGGAGTTGTTCAGAGGATACTTGTTGCTCTTGCTTCAATCCAAAGGCTACCCGAGCCATGTCCTCCAATGTCACTTTCAAATCATCCTCTTTGCTGTCCGCTCGTGCAATGAAGTGCTTGTAGATGCGATTCAGACCACGTAGTGATAATCCCTTTTTGAGCAGAATTGATTTCTGATAGTCAAATATCATCCGCGACTCAAAAGATGCTGGCTGATCTCCTTTTTGAAAGTTGGGTAGGCGAAATAGCACATCCTCACTCATAAACTCAAGCTCTCGTCCGTTGCGCAACATGACTGTAAGCATCTGGCGTCGTCCACTGATAGCTCGCTCATTCGTTACGACACCGCTCCATTGAGAATCCCTTTGTTGTTGAATAAAAGAAAGAGCTAAATGAGTCCTCTGTGTGTGTATGTCAAAACAAGATCGCCAGCGATCTATGCCTACTTTGTGAATATCTCTACGTAATCGCGAGGCTGAATGGCCGTTGTAGGAGTGGGAGGTGATGGGATCTCGATCTTGGGTTCTTCGAGTGCAGAGACAGGAACAGTGTCGTCGTCGTCAAAAGGTGGTCGTTCTTGTGTATCCGCCTTGGATTTTGATGATGATAAGGGTATCTTGGCAGCCGCATGTCGAGAACGGATGAATGAATGAGGTGTTCTTGTTGCTGCTGCTGCTACTAAAGGCAACCGAGACGTAATGCTGCGTTGTTGTAGCAGCACTCGTTGCCACATGTTGGGATGATTTAAAGGAGGAGGAGTAGAGATGAAAGAAAGAGGATAAACATTAGATTTTTAAAGTGCAGCGGACCAAGTTTCATGCTGTCTCACACCCACAGTGGATGATGATGATGTACACGTCATTTATGTATATTCACTTCATTGCATTGAAAGGACGTACAGATACAACAACTACAGTACATGGGATATACATTTCATTTACTTCAACAAGGCTTGACCTTGGGTGGTAACTTCTCCATCAGCTTCAAAGTTTTCTAAATGTGGGTCGTCGCTGAAAGCACTCATTGCGTTGACGCTAGTATCGGGCACTTGAACAGCGAATCCCTTGATGGCTGCGTTATAGCGATGGGTGATTTTGGCACCACTAGCTTCAATAGTCTCGGCCTTTTCTTGAAGCACGCTGTCAGGTGTATCCCTCTTGAAGGTGATGATGTAGTTGGAAGCTAGCTTTGTGTTGGTACAAAACAATGCACGTCTCCTTGGCAATAGTAGAAATGACTTACCGGACATGATGAGAGGTTGGTGGATAAAAAAAGGAAGAAAAAGAAAAAAGTAGTGGGAAGAAGAACGGAAAGGATAACGTAACCTTTATATGCTCGGTACTGTGTGACACAAACGAATCTTATTGGGGCTTCTTGCATGCAGCCGGGACCTACGCCATGCCAAACAACGACGTCAAGCTTGCTTGGTTCTAAATAATGATATAACATTGTACACATTTCATCATTAGCATCATCATCTTCACATAGTCGAATCAGTCATACCTTTAAGTTGTTGTTGTTGTTGTTGCATGATAGATAACATCACTCATCCAATCAGCTCACAAACGGAATGGACGCTAAATTTGCCAAGTCTGCAGCTGCTTCGGAGGAAGGTGCCACCTCTATCACGCATCATCTTACTATTCTTCTCACACCATGTCTAGACTAGTATTCAAAGGTGACAAAGTACCAAAGTAGGATCATGACAGTGATATCCTCTCTTTATTGTTATTGCTAATCCTATATCCTTTATGACTTTAGAAAGAAGAAAAAGAAACGATCTGCTTCTGAACGCGATGAACATGGTGGTGCTATGGGTGATTCAGACGAAGGTAAAAGAGAGAGAGAGAGAAAGCGCATGAAGAAAGCCATCGACTCATGGGAGTTCTTTTCAAGGATGGGTGCGTGCCGATCAACTTGACGATCTCGTGGGTCCTTTGTTTATTACCCATCCAAGCGATCCAACCATTTGCTTGACGGTCGACGACAATGATCGATTGCTTGCTTATCCTATTCCCGAAGGTGCTACCGAGACCGAGCCTGTGATTGTGAATCAAGTCTTTGTAGGCGCACGCTTATTAGGCACATCCAATACGTTTACCATCAAGTCTGTCCACAAGAAATACTTGAGCAGTGACAAGTTTGGCGTGGTGAGTGCCGATCGTGAAGCTATCAGTGGTCTTGAGGAGTGGGAGCCAGCCATTACCGATGCAGGTGTCGCTTTTCGTAATGCACACGGCAAGTTCCTAATGGTGGATCAAATTGCTGGAGGAGGTAACTACATAAAAAGATACTACTTTTATGATGGCATGGTAGCTTATCGATATGCATCATCCAGGTTTCAAAATCCGTGCAGATTCAGATGAAGTTGGCTTTTGTGAGACATTTCGAGTCTATTGTCAGGCACGTTTCAAGCGAAAAGCAAGACACGACAGGAAGAAGCAAAAGAAGGAATCCCATATTGATGAATTGGATAATGTGTAAGTTGTTGGTCGTCGTGCTTAAGATGTATTTTATTCATCCTATTGTCTCTATCTACTACAGCAAAAAGTTCCAATCATGGGGTGGCGGTCGCGTACACATGTCCAAATCAGATACACGTGAACTAAAGAAAGCCAAGGAAGAAGGTCGAATTGCAGAAGCTATGCTGGATCGTAGAGCTAAAGTCAAATCAGATCGTTATTGTAAATAATATGCTATTTTGTGTCTTTGCCATTGATTGTTATCGAGTGGGCAATATTTATTGTTGAAAAATATTGGATACCATCTCTTGATAAACATGTATATATAGCTCACTGTTTTATGTGTATGGGCGTTGCTTTGACTTTACTCGGGTGATATGCGACCATCTTTTCTTCTTGGGAAGCAGACTATAGTTGGTAATATCAGCAGCAGCAGCCGTGGTGGATAAGGTCGCATCGGCAGATGATGAGATCGTGGTAGTGGAATCAGCAGTAGTAGAACCCATACTTGATGCAGTGGATGAGTCGCTTGAATCCGTGGTCATAGGGCCTACTTCCCAAGTGGAAAGAATACTTGATGCCATACTTGTAGTATCACTCGATGATGCTGAGGCTGTCAATGTATTAGACAAAGAGCCTGTGCTTGTAGCAATTGCTGTATCATTACTTGTCCTGGTGGAAGATGCGCTAGCATTAATGTTGCCAGACGACGAAGAGCTACTATCCCCATCGCTACAGCTGCTCACTATATGACATAAGGCAAATGGATGTTACTTTGATAAAATAACCAGTATCATGGTTCGACGTTTACGTACCTGCAACCCATTCGCTGTTTGCACCACCATCAGGCTCGCTATCAGCAAACCACTTTGCCTAGAAACGGGTTGCCATGGAGACTATGTCGTTAAAAACCTGGATGTCCAATGTCCGCAATTGTTTTTGTTGTCGCGTACCTGCCAAATGTACCTGTCACGCCAATGGATAATAAAAAAGAGTATTCATTGTTGGTTAAGAAATGAAATGGGATAACCTATTTGGGATCAAAGCTTACCCTCTAGACAATGAAAGATTATTTTAGTTGCCAGGAGACCCTGTTATCGCAAAAATCAGCCCTTACTTGTATGATACTTTGCTTCCACCTGGATACGACTTTCCTTTTGTGTAAGCCGGTGCATCACATGGGGGTGGTGGATGAGAGGAGCTGCATGATGACGATCCTTGGCTGATAGCCTCTTTGATTGCCTTGTCAAACCGATTGTTTCCATATGCTTGGGATACATCTACATACACATTGGTGGTGGTGGTGGTGTGATTAGTATACTCTTTGTTGACATGGCACCACGTGTCTTTTTCTCTTACCCCAATACATGACACCTCCAAAACTTGGAAACTGCTTTTGGGTTTCAGTCGCGATCTTGCCAAGTTGGTCGGCGGACACATAACCACCTCCAGCGGCACTGCTACTAGCTGGCGCACCAATGTAGACCTTGACGTTCTTGTTGGGAGAGACATTGCGTGCCCAATAATCCCATTGCCCAAAATTCCACTGGGGTTGCCCATAGGTTTGTAGGCCACAAGGATTGTTATCTAATCATCATTGAATCAGTTGTAGAAAACAATGACACGTACTTTAACGAAGACTTACAAAATTGAACAAAGATCGCATCCATAGGGAAGCTGTTCATTGTTTCCTGAAGATTGGCATCTGGATAGACACATTGGGGTGCAGCTGTGATATAGTATTTGCGATCGGATGAACCAAAATGGCTTTTGAGCTTGTTCAAAAACGTCGTGTAATCTAAAAAAGAACATGTGAGAACATGAAAGAAGATGTACTTTGATTTTGATAACTCACGAGCAGACCCGCCACCTTCAATGTCAAGATCAACCCTTTGTGTACATAACAATGGAACAAGTTAGCGCCAACCTGATGAAATAAGGTTTCTGCATGCATGTACTTACCCATCAAGAATAGCGCTTCCAAAAGGACGCATGTCGGATGAACCCCCAAGAAAAAGATTCCAAATGGTATCAGCAAAGCTCTCAGCCTGGTCATCCGATTGGAAACCAACACCACCCGTGGCCCCACCAAGTGAGATCGTCAGCACCTTGCCTCGCTTTTGACACCCAATGATGTCGTCTTGCATCTTGGATGTGCAGTTGGCCAACGCCGTTCCAGGGAAAGTAGGATCATCCACATTGCTACAAGTCTTTTTGGATCGAAAATGAGCAAACTTGATACGACATACAGGATAAAATGGCAACTTACATTGGCGAGATTAATCTCTGGTTGGCCGCCGGTGCTGAAAAACTTGGTCAGGAAGGCGATAGGAAACATGTCTATGGTATCATCGTTGCAATATTCATGCAGTGGTTTTTGCCAATTGCTCTTGTCGCCACCATTAGCTGCACCATATGAGTTTTGGCCCCAATCTTGAAAGACATGTTGTTGTTACTAACACACACACACATGCTGTAATGGCGTATTACTTACATCCAGCCACGTTGGAACTGCAATCCATCTATTCATCTCGATGAAATTAGTATCTAAAAATCTCATCAAAGGTCCGGTCCTACAACTTACATTAAAGGCACGGGTGATAGAAATCAAGGAAATGACACCAATGGCAAAGTAATTCGAGTGCATGATGATGATGATGTTGTTGTTGAAGGAGCTGCTGTATGTCGCCATTGGATCACTTATATATAAGCAGGACCTTTTGAATCATGGCCTTGAGAACCTGTTATTGGAACGAGTGTGAATGTTGTTGTGGTAGTTGTATTCACATGTGGTGATGGTGTATGTTTCAAGATGATCGTATTAATATTCTTCTTACCATGCGGATGTCAATCCCACAATGTCGGGTGCCAATGTCGGGGTATCTATGCCAACGAGACATGTGCAACATGAGGAGTTGAATTAAGGTTATCTGCAACCTCCATTTTACTGGTTAGTTACATGGCTTTCGCGCACACCTCCACATACACATTTCCTCAATTGCATGATACACTCCTTCATTGACCTATTACGTTCCTGGCGAAATAGCATGATCCAGGTTCCAGATTCCCGCTATCAAGGGACAACACCACCACCAGCAGATGATAGCAAACATCGTTTTAATCGCTTCAGGTCACCCACAGTCAACTTTGTCAACGTGTTGCGTCTTGTATGGATTCTCGCCCTTCTCCACGGTGAATTCATTATCTTTTGGAAAGCTGCATATCAATGTGCCCCTTGGCCGAGTAGTGGCAACAACAATGACCAAGTAATGTGTCACGTTTCTCGTCCATCTACAGCTCTTGATTGACTCCAATATAGATGCTGGATCGGCTGCTGCTGATTGGCGATCCTCAAATGACGGATGCGTTTTCATACGATCGACCCGGTGTTCTATTGCGTATATCCGAATTCTTCAGTGATCTTTATATGGGCCGCAACTATCGACATTTACAGCGACGACTTGAACCAAAAGGAACGATCTTTATGGGTGATTTGATGGATGGTGGACGTGAATGGGACGATAATGGGTAAGGTCTATCAATCAATTACATGCATCGAATCTCATCCTATTGATTTGTAGATGGAAGAAACAAGCAACACGATTTCGACACTTGTTCAAGAGTAATCGACCTCAATACTTCATGGCAGGCAACCACGATTTGGGATTTGGTGATGGTATCCAGGCGCATGTGATGGAACGATTTCAAGGAGAATATGGACCTACGTCGTATACCCTTAGCACTGGCACTCCTTATTCGATCGTTGTTGTGGATACAGTATCACTTTCATCAAGCCATACGGATTTAGCGACCAAACGACAAGCATGGGATGTCATTGAACGCCATTTGCCGCCGCAACCACGTATCCTGATGACCCATGTTCCATTGTATCGGCCACCGGGAACATCATGTGGCCCTGATCGACAAGGCAGATCACGTGAAATACGCCAGGGTCGTGGATATCAATACCAGAATCTTGTAAATGCAGATTTATCACGTCAGCTGCTTGATCGCATCAACCCTGTTGTCGTCTTTTCAGGAGATGATCACGACTATTGTCTGGTGAAACATGGCAACAACGATAAGGATGAAGAAATCCCAGAAATCTCAGTGCCCACTTTTAGCATGGCGCAAGGCGTGCATTATCCAGGCGTCATTTTGTTGGATCTATCCATCACTAAACAAGAAGAGGATACTACTACAACAGCAGCATTGGCCACCAAACTATGCTGGTTACCCGATCAGATCGCTATCTTTATTGGCTATGGATGCTTGCTTGGGTTATCATTGGCTTCGCTCATGGTAGTCCACGCCTATCGATGGAGTGTACATCGTTCTAGACGCGCTTTTGGAACCAATGACGTCGGCGATGATCCAGTTATCCTCCCAAGACCGGCTGTATTTACACGTGCTGCTAATGCAAGATCTTCTGCTTCTTTGGCAAAACGACAACTCTATTCATTTTTCAAAGATGTTGCCGATGTGGCATCCATTGGTATCCTTGCATACATTATTTGTTTGATCACATTGTAGTAGTCCATGATGATGATTCCCCACCCCCCACCACCTTTCCCGCTTTATTTTGCATTCGACGCATTATACATTATTATCAATTTCGCATACACACAACATATCTTATCATGATGTTTGAATTCCTGAATACATTGCTAGTTTACCATTTGGTGCGAATCATACGCTTAATGTACGCTAAAGGATGTTCCAGGTATTCACGAGGGAGGTTGTCACTTGATTAGTAACCATGATGTCGTTGCCTATGAAACCAATGGTGTATTGCCATAGGCGACCTAGAGTAAAATAGAAGTAATTCATCCAACATCCATGAGGCCATTGATTCTTAATGCTAAAGATCATTGCCACTAGAGGTACGTTATTTTAAAAGATGATCAAGCACTCAAACTCTACTTGAAAAGTGGCGTAAACATGTGGCAGGGTTATTATCAACAAACAATCATTGCTTATGCTGAAGTACAGGGTAACTTGGTCATTGCATTGATCGACAACAGCATCCATGCATCAGCCACAGTGTATCGAATGTCATATGATGGAGCATTTATCATTGGAAAATGTGTGCTATAGTACAAGAAGGTAATGATTGTATTGAATTTGAGCCCAAGATAGCATAGTTTGAATGTTAAAGATGGTGGGTGATGGTGCTCCAAGATACGCTCATTTGTGGGACAGGCGACGACTACTAGGTACAACAAAGAGGGCAAATTGATTTCCAGCTACGCAGGCTGCACGTCTCTTTTCGTTCAAAGCTACCTTGCCAACAATGTCGCACCCCGTCAAGGATATTGATCGCACGCCCGAATATGATCAGTTCATGCAACAGCTACGGGACTTCCATGAGAGCAAAGGGTACACAATGATCCCTCCACGTGTTTGCTGGTGTAAAAAAGCTCACCAATCTACCCGACATTGTAGGACGCCATTTCAACCTGAACCCGTTCTTGGAGGCCAAAAGCTAGATCTGCTCAAAATCTATCAGACTGTGATTAAGGCTGGCGGTTACAAAAAGGTATAAGACAAGGTTGGATAATGGCTAAAAGTGATAGTTGGCCTAACACGTTCGTTGCTTGACTAGGTGACAGAAAACCGCGGCTGGAAGCAAGTAGGCGATCCATTCGATTTCCCTCCAACATGCACCAACAGTGCCTATATCCTTAAGCTTGTTTATACAAAAAACCTCGTAAGAGATGGAAGGGGAGGGAGTGATATCAATCGCATGATGGTAACTTTTTTGTGTTTGGTAATAAGCTTGGATGGGAAGAAGAACACTATTGGAAACGACCATGGAATCCACCCAAGGAACAATTCGAGCTTAAAACCATTGGCACACCATCCACCGCATCAACGCCTGCTGCAAGTAAACCACGCGACTCAGCACGTAAAACAGCTACAGGTACCACACAATATCAACCTCTATGCTGTATGCCATGCTTATCACTATTCTTTTAGCATTTACCTATCAAAACGCACAACCGATTCCTGCTTTTCCACCTCCAGGAATGATGGCTCCACCTCCCGCACCCATTTTTCATCAGCCACGTGAGTATGAATGATGAAGGGCATGCAGCATGGATATGTGTATTAATAGAGAGAGAGATGTGGATAGAGGTTTATGTGGATGAATCCTTTCCTACGCGCATCATGCACTCATTGACATGTACGTTGCCGAATGAAATCGATTGGGCCTTCAACGTCCTTGTCCGATTTTCGTGTACAGCCGAGAATTTCAGCATTGACTACATGCCAACCTTGATTGACAGCCTGGTGGAATTTGCTGAACCCTTTTTCAAGACACACATTCAGCCTATCTTGGAGCACCTTGAACAAGTCAAAGAACAGGACGATGAATCACCTGCGCCTGTGGAAAACTTGTTTAGCAGCAAAAAGATCCAACAAGAATACGAACGCGTCTTGCAAGTGTTTCATGTCATTCGCAACTTTTCATTCACGGATATCAACATTCGATCCTTGGCACAAAACGCACGTCTTCGAGATTTATTAATGATGGCCATCTCCCTTCCCACCGATTCACAATACGCCGAGCTCAGTCGACACAGTCTCGATATTATCGAAAGCATCTCGCCACAAATTGTGCTTCAGAGCACCGACGACGATTATTTAATGGCCATGCACAGGCTGCTCACATCGCCCGATCGCGCTCTCGTCCTTGGTGCTCTCAGAGCCTTGACACGGGTTGCTGTGAGTGAGTCGAATGAAAGTATACTCGCAGCTGTCCATTACCAGAATATCATTGTGCGCATGAGTCAATTTCTCTTGGTGGATGATGAGGAGCTGGTCGCCGCTACGTTGGAATACCTTTATCAATACTCAAGTCTCAAAGGCAACTTTTCAGTAACACTACTCAAGAATTATCCTGGCAATCTCGTTGGCTTGCTTGTTGGTTATTTGTCATACAAATCTACATTGGCACCACGCACTTCCGCATTAAACAGCACCATCCATTCCATCCCAGCAGCACAATTTGCAAAAGAAAGCAAAGGACAGGCACAACCACCCGCTATTCCCGATCTCACTGAATACATGAACTTGGATGAACCATATCGATGTTTGGGATGGTAAGAAAATGACTTTATTTAACGGTCAAAAAGAAAGAGAGAGAAACTCATGGGTTGAATAGGCTGAGAGAGAAGCTTGTTGCTGGTACAGCAGAAGACAAGATCGAATTTAAAACCATATTTGGCGAATACAACGAGCTCTTTGGCAAGCAAAAGCCGTTAGCTACCAAGGAATTCTACACTGTGCTTAAGATTGCATTTCCTCAACCGGATTCTGTGGAAGAAGCTGTCAAGACCGGTTCTGTGCCTATGAATGATCTTGTCTTGGGCAAAGTAAAGTACGCACCACCCAAAGAGCCTGAAAGTAAGTGATTGTCACGTGATGTCTTGGTGTGCGTTTAATTCATTTATATGATATACATAGTGGTCGAATGTCATTGGGCTGATTGTACCGAAAAATTCAAGGACGAAGAAGGATTACATGCTCATCTCGTGGACGTGCACGTGAAAACAATAGAGGAAACGGCAGCCAACGAGGGAGATCAGATGGATACGAGTGATGATGATACTCAACCTGAAGGGAAGACTTATGAATGTCGATGGATGGCATGTGGACGACGGGGATTCAAGCATAAAGGAAGAATATTTCAGCATTTGCGGACCCATTTCCCAGGCAGAGTGACCAAGCCAATGAAACGACGCAATGATAAGCTTTCGATTGAGAAAATACCAGTGGATGATGAGGATGTATCGGGTGTTCCATTGACAGCTGCTTTACTCTTACGCAACCTTGCACGTACACGTGAACTCCAGAGTTTCCTGCTACCCTACAAGGTTGAGTTGGCACAATTAGCTTTCCAGAGACCCAAGTTAGGTGCCTATGCCATCTCCGTACTTGAAGAATTGCATGCTGCCAGCTGAAAGTAGTCGTAGTAGTAGTAGTCATTGATTGTCACGTTCTTCCATTCCTTTGATATATTTTTAAAATGCATTTGTAGATAAACATTGTGTCTCTTTGATGAGCATCCAACAACCCAATAAACTTTTAGTAGTTGATTATTACAGCAACACGAGAATGATTTTATTGTTATATGAAAGCAAAGAATTTACATGCGTGGGATGATGCCAATATGCCATGATTTATAAATGAGACCTTGAAAATGAGAAGCATGAGGATGTACGCACCAGACCCGCTTGTATGATTCCACTGTTGCCACGGCTCTTTCATTCTCATCATCCACCGTATCTTGACCTGCCAATGTATTGTGATGATGATGATGATGAAGATCGTCATCAAGATCATCATCATCGTCCAAGGGTGGGGTTGAACCTACGACGACGGCTACTAGGGTATCACACCATCGTAACATCATCCATAATCCATCAGCCTTGACAGCGGGGACGACTAGTAAGCGAATACGAGGACATTTGGCGATGATCATGTGAGCCACTGAAGCTGTGAGGATATCGTATGGATTGAGCGTGAGGGAAACAAGATCGGAACCAAAGGTGGGTAAGATAGCACTGCGTAAAGCGCCTGGATGATGATAATAATGCGAGATATGGGTGACGACATCATCATCCTTTTTGGGTTGTCGAATGGCGAGACAACATGAACAACATGCTAATTGATAATATTCAATTTCTGGTGATGATGATGGTGATTGTTGTTGTTGTTGTTGTTGTTCAAGGTCCAATTCGTAATAAGCAAAGGATGGCGATACATGAGTCAACATAAATGTTGAAGGATGTTGTTTCATGACAGGTAAAAGACGTCGAACCAATTGCTTTGGTGTAATGCTGGATTGAAGAAATGAAAGTTTGGGACACAACTGAGCAAGGATGGTGAAAAAAGTGTCTGGATAGTAACATCGCCGTTGTGGAAGCTTGATGATTTCCAAGGATTGACCATGCTTGTAGCAAAAGCGTATCATGTCGGTCATCGAGGCTTCCTCTGGGAATACAGCTTTCTGATACACATGTTGACTCACGAGCCGGTTGGTAAAGCGACATACGGATAAAAAGACACCACGATAGGGTAACTCGGTCATGAAGACAATCTGTACGAGGAGCTCATTGGGGAGAATAGGGACATTGACACCACCACCACCACCACTTGTTGTGACAGACCATGGAGATGCTGGTGTTGGTGTTGTTGTTGTTGTTGTTGTTGCCATGGCGTCAATGAGGAGGGAGGACTGTCAGTTGGAGGCAACACGCTCTAAACACATACACACACACGCACACACAACGCAACAAGGTACACACGCAACACTGCCACGACAAGGAACGACAAGGAGAGAGAGAGAGAGGAAAAAAGAGGAGAGGGTGAGTGTGCGTGGTAGCGTAGTAGTAGTAGTGTAGTAGTAGTCTGTGTGGGAATAAAAGGGGAGGAGGGAAGGATATTATCACTTTTGACTTATCCACCCAGGGATGTTGATATGTTTCTTGCTTTCTTTTTTCGACATGATTGAAAACACGTGTTAGAAAGACATACCGAGTCTCCCATGCTGATCTTCAATTTTGCATTGACACCTTTTCTTTATTACTCCTCGCTGTCATACATGGCTGTTATCCTTATTCTATGTTGGAGATATGGGCATGGATGGACATGTAATCCAATAATGAACTTCATGTTGCTATGTTTTATGCTCTTTGTCTTGCCTTGAGTTGTGTCCATTTTCTATGAGATGAGGGGGGGGTTGCTAAAATCGAGGATGTTATGCATGACGCCCATACAAAGTGTTACACAAAAAGACCATGTCACCCAATCAATCGTCTCAGTCACTGTTCAAGATTGGGCGAATTAAGCGACAGGATCATGCATGAGGAATGTATTGTAGGGCTATCATCTTGAGTCAAACGATTCCCAAAACCACCATACCGCTAAGAATCGAATTCATCTTGAAGGTATTCCACATGCACACACACACACACACATTTCAATGAAAAAGGTACAATCAATGGAATGCATCGATATATTAGCAGCAACAATATTCAGGCACAAAGAGAAGAGATCGTTTATAACATTGGACATACTACATACATAAGCCCTAGAAGCATGGACACGGAGGGTGAACAAGGGGGTTTTCGTGCGTCGGAGGACAAGGTTGCCCATACTCTCTATGGAGCTACACGGGGAGGAGTTGAGGATGTGGTGACAAAGAACGCTATGCAACAAGTGACAATGAAAATACTGCATGCATGTCACCCCTTTTCTTCTGTAACCAACGTTTTCTTTCTCGCTTCTTTATCTCGTTGTAATCATGGCCTCTGTCCTTGTTGCTTTGGCCTCGCTTTCTTCAAGGTACGTGAGTGTAATAAATGAAATCAGCCTGGTTACACATAGGGTTGTCGTCGATCTGACTCCTTCCATTTTCAGTTGTTTCATTCACAAAGTAGACGACCCATCCATTCCTTCCAATCTCCACGACATTGTGCTTATCGGTCAACAGCTCTATCGAAAAGGCCATTACAGCGATGCCTATCGTCTTCTTGTACGTGTCGAGCCATTGTTACCTCCTGTGGAAAGTGGGCCATGTGTCGAATACCAGATCAAGGCCTTGCGACGATTAGGGCACATTCACCGAGCATTGGAATTGAGCCAGACCATGGCCGTGACCCATCCTTCAACACGTTGGTGCTATCTCGCGTGTGACCTTGTGCTTGAAAAGGAAGGCGACGTGTTGAAAGCACGAGAATGGTTAAAGCAAGGATCGATTCTACGAGACATCATGGATGATGATGATGACGCCAGTTACCTTGAAGAACGCCTCTTATGGGAGAAGATAGCACGTATCGAACACAAGGAACGACGACAACATGGTCATGTGGATAAACGAATGGACTTCACTCAATCACTCTCATACGATCTCGTCACTGCCATCTTCCAACATTTGTCTTTTCGCGATCGTGTTGTATGCATGCGGGTATCAAGACATTGGCATAATTTTCTCGTTGACAGCGTGGTCCTCTGGCAAGATATCGACGTGTCTCATACACCCACACCTATCGATCTTCATTCCTTTTCATTGTATTTGGGTCGGCTGGAGAATACACAACCAAAACGGCTACGCATTCATCATGAACGAGCGAATGGGGATCAATTAATGAAGCTGATGTTGATTCGGGAACGATACAAGTTGCATACTTTGGGTAAGTGGGTGGTGGGCAAGGGGATGCTATGTGAGAAAGGTCATTCATCAAAGAGTATGCTACATAGACCTATCCGATGTGCTGTGCAAACCGAGTCTTTTTTATGACCTCTTAAGGCGGGCTGGTCCAACATTACGCTGTTTACGATGGAATGGCCTTATATTGAAGCTGAATGATATCTTCGACACTGCGGCTGACTCATGTCCACACCTTGAGGAATTGGATGTATCCTATTGTTTCACGTCGAGGAAAGGGCGTTTCGAACCAAGTCGTTTTCTTGAATCGTATGGCAAGGATTTACCAAAGGAATTGATGGATGATAAGAAACAGCAGCGCCCGCTTTATATCAAACGTTTACGATTGACCAGCATTCATGAGATGATCGGCCCTGAGCTCATTCACATGTTATTACGTACGCCTCATTTGACACATCTCGAGCTTGAATATTGCCTAGTTAGCTTTATCCCGATTGCAAACATGCTTCAACATTGCTGTCCTCGTCTTCAACACCTTGTTTACAAGCGACATCGATATGCGCGTCAATACCAAGATGTGATACCTCATTCACAACCCTCGATACCCATGCCACCAAGACGATGGCGAGTGATTGAACTCAACAAATCCTTATCCGTCACCGATACCATCATGCGGGATATGATCATACGAGCGGATCTTTCATTGCTTGAACGCTTGGAGCTGGATTCCAATACATACATCACCGATAAATCCCTTTTCGTTATCCTGCAACGCCTTCATCATGATACAGCATCATCATCATCTTCATCCACATTGTCGAACTTGCATACGCTCAACCTGGGTCATTGTACTGCATTGACCGAACAAGGATTGCTACGGTTCTTGGTCGCTTGTCCCATGCTTCGCCATGTTAATCTTACTCGTCTCTCGGCTGTCACGGATGCTGTGCTGGATACATTAAGTCAAATGGAAAAATTACAAACACTGGATATCACTTTTTGCTCGCATGTCACCGATCAAGGTATCATTCAGCTGGTCAAGCAACGACAAGATAGCTTACAACAAATCCACTTGACCCATTCCAATGTCTCGCCCGCTGCATTGAGCTTTGTATTTCGTACCTTGAAATATGATGGTATATAATAGAAGATCATCCACTTTTACATATAGCACACTCTTGTATAAACATTGCGCCTCAATAATGATATAATGATAATAAAAAGCAATCTAATGCATGATGTTGGCTATCTATGTACGCGATACTGCATGCGTTCACCAATAAGAGTGTAGGTAGCAGTATTTCCGGTATATGCAATAAGAGATCAAATGTATGATGCATACATAGTGCATGCAGCACATCAGCTTGTTTTCTCTTGGATCCAAGATTTATATATGTATGCTCCCTTGCGTGAAAGTCGTTAAAGATGATACAGATGTTTTAGCAATGCCAAGTGGGATACATAAACATTTCATTTGGCATCAATGATATAGAAGCTCCAGTGACACCTTTTTCTAGGCTATTCTTCCACTTTTTGTAAGCTCTTCCGAGCTGCATGGCAGATGCATACATACGCCCTACATATGATCCCCTCACACAGTCACTTTTTGACGCGATCGTCATGATGAATCCCTGTTGCCTTGCCATCTTCTCACTTTCTGGTCCTTCATTCAGTCATAATATGTAATAGGGTACTGCTATGAATTAAAAGATCCCTATTTCTTACTTTTCCTTCCTTCTTGCCATATACTACTAGGACGAATAACAAGTTCTCAGACACGATAAAACATGCACCAGACGACCATGAAAGTATCAAACCCATCCAAGAAACGCAAGATGGTGGCTATGCATGGGTGATTGTTGCAAGTGTCTTTTGGAGCATGTTTGCTACGTTTGGCGTAGTCGTCGGAGGATGGCAAGTACAAAAATTATCGGGTTCATTGTTGTTGTTGAGATAATGACAGCAGCTCGCTTCTTATTAGGGGTACAGTACAGTAGGCTTTGCGTGTAATTGGTTAAAGTATCAACAACATAGATGATTAATCCTATGTAAAGGTGTCATCATGGACTACTTTGAGCGAGAGGTGTTTGGTGCAGAGGCATCGTTCCAACTTAGCTTCGTGAGCACACTGATTCTATTTTATGTCGCTATTAGTGCAGCACTCGTTCGGGTCATTGAACTTTTCATCAGCATGAGAACAGGATTCCTAGTGGGTGGTCTTTTGGTTTCAGGGGGATTGGCAGCAGCTGGCTCGGCTACTCAGGTATATGGAAAATGCGTGCACATCAACTTTTGTGTAACCCTTGTTTAGGTTTGGCAGGTCATTTTATCCATTGGCGTTTGCATGGCTCTTGGAAATAGCTTCATCTACAGTGTATGTGTTATTGATGTCATTCTTACATATAGCATGAAGAGATATCAATGATGGTTGCTGTTATCCATAGACTGGATCTCGTATTGTGTTGCCATGGTTTACCGCCAAGAGAGGATTGGCAATGGGCATAATAGCAAGCGCAACAGGCTTGGGTGGTCTCATTGTACCATTCATTGTACATGGCATCATTGAAACATTGGGAGGGCCATGGATGCTTCGTATACTGAGTATGGCTTGGTTTGTCATTTTCGTTACTGCCTATGGCTTAATTCGGGAGCATGAGCAATCCAAGACAAAGCCCACCGGACTCAGAGGTATCCTGAAGTGGTCTCTTTTTAAAAACCTACCCTTTTCTTTATGGTGCGTTTCTGGTTGCTTCCAAGTAATCCATTGCTTTCTCGTACCATTCACTTTACCAGGTACAGTACAGTAGAATGTATAGTAAATTGATGGTGTTGATAACATACATGTTACTATGTAGTTTATGCAACCAGCATTGGATTATCAGCAAAACAAGGCACCGATATCATCTCTGTAACCATGGGCTGCAACTTTGTTGGAAGACTTGCAGCAGGGTATGTATGCATGTAACGCTTATATAACCAAATCCACCACCCACTCATCCGCTTCTTCATGCATAGGGTCATTAGCGACAAAATTGGCAGCATGAATTGCAGCATTATCTTTGGAGCCATCACAGCTTTCTCAACTTTACTTTTATGGGTGTTTGCTCACAGCTACGGTACATTGATGGCCTATGCTTGTATCTTTGGCTTCTTTGGTAGCGTTTATTTCGTGTTTGGTGAGTGCTTTTCTCTCTCCTTGTTTGATGTACATACGACTAGTAGTTGACATGTTGATGTAGCTGGACCTATCACCGTTGTCATTGTTGGTTTAGAACAATATCCTTCAGGATTTGCACTATTGACTCTCGCAGGTTTCCCCGCAGCGCTTTCTCCCATCGTTGCCAATGCAATCGACCATGCTGTACAACAAACTGAACCCTATTTTTGGTATAAAATCATTACCGGTGGAGCAGCTTTATTATCAACTTGTATCCTGCTAGCTGCTCGTTGCCTGTTAAAGCCTGGAGAGCTATGGGTTAAAATATAGAGTATCTTTTACTAGTGACATCGAATCCACTTTCTAATACTAAATTGAGCAAGCTTTAAAAAGCATACACACTTTGGATCAATGAAGGCTCTTTTGTGAAACGAACACTTACACTACATCAAGGCTCTTTGTAAAGTGTGCATGATTGTATATCACGTGATGAAGAATACATGGTTTAGTGTAGTAGTAGAGAGTAGATTCTGTCATACCATGACAAGATTATGGATAAGGTGGTTCCACATGCTTATGCATATACACTTTGATATCAAGTATGTGAGTCATGATTATTGCAACCTCTATCTGGGATCGTGGGTGTGGGTGAGTGTATGGGTGGGGTATTGCTATAGTAGAGCTATGGTGGCTGAGAGGGGTTTATATCAGAGGGAGGCTTGGTGATTTTTTCATTTTGGCAACTTCTTTTCTACTTTTGCCCCGGACTCTTTCCTCTCTTCGCGCGACGCAATGGCAACGACTCAAGACAAGGTTACCCAAGTCAATCAGCTTTACGATACTGTCCTCATTTTGGACTTTGGTTCGCAATACTCCCACTTGATCACCCGTCGTATTCGTGAACTTGGTGTTTACTGCGAGCTCTTGCCATGCACCCAAAAGATGGCCGATCTCCACTTTAAGCCCAAGGGTATCATTCTCTCTGGTTCTCCTTACTCGGTCTATGACAAGGATGCTCCTCGTGTTGATCCTGCCGTGTTCGATGCTGGTGTCCCCGTTCTTGGTATCTGCTATGGTCTTCAAGAGATGACAACCTACATGGGTGGTAAGGTTGAAGGCTGCGAACACCGCGAGTATGGTCACGCTATGCTTTCCATCACCAAGCACAGTGGCCATCCTTTCATGGATAAGCTCTTTGATGGTTTGGATGGTGAGATTCAGGTAAATTTCATGGGGTGCTTTGTATATGCAATACATAGGACCTAAAGAACAATTGGATGAATAGGTTTGGATGAGTCACGGTGACCAAGTGTCTGCTGCTGCTCCCGGTTTCAAGGTGATTGCCAACACTCGCACCGCACCCTATGCTGCCGTATGCCACGAAGAGAAGCACTTTTTCGGTATCCAATTCCATCCTGAAGTCACCCACACCGTTGATGGTACCACCATCCTCAAGAACTTTGTCATTGGTATTTGTGATTGCAACGCTTCGTGGACTATGGACTCCTTTGTCGACAAGGAAATTGAGCGCATTCGTAACATTGTTGGTCCCACCGGTCGTGTTGTTGGTGCTGTCTCTGGTGGTGTTGATTCCACTGTTGCTGCCAAGTTGATGCATGAAGCTATTGGTGATCGGTAAGTGGGCATGTGTGTGTGTGGGTATAGGAGAGATGGATGAAAAATTGACATGTGTATCATGATGGTACTAGTTTCCATGCTATTCTCGTCGACAATGGTGTGATGCGTTTGAACGAATGCGCCAATGTCAAAAAGATGTTGGGTGACAAGATGGGTATCAACATCAAGGTCAGCGATGCTTCCGATATGTTCTTGGATCGTCTCAAGGGTGTCACCGATCCCGAAAAGAAGCGCAAGATCATTGGCAACACTTTTATTGAAGTCTTTGAGGCCGAGGCTGCTTTGATTGATAAGGAATGTGGTGGTGAAATCGAGTATCTTTTGCAAGGCACTCTTTATCCTGATGTGATTGAGTCGATCTCTTTCAAGGGCCCTAGTGCCACTATCAAGACCCATCACAATGTCGGTGGTTTGCTCGAGGACATGAAGCTCAAGTTGATTGAACCCCTTCGTGAATTGTTCAAGGATGAAGTGCGTGCTCTTGGTAAGATTTTGGGTCTTGATGATGAGCTTATCTGGCGTCATCCTTTCCCTGGTCCTGGTATTGCCATCCGTGTCCTTGGTGAAGTCACCCGCGAACAAGTGGAGATTGCTCGTCTCGCTGACAACATTTACATTGAGGAGATCAAGAACAATGGTTTCTACCGCCAAATCTCTCAAGCCTATGCTGCCTTGTTGCCTGTCAAGGCCGTCGGTGTCATGGGTGATAGCCGTACCTATGAACAAGTCATTGCCCTTCGTGCCGTTGAAACCAAGGATTTCATGACCGCCGATATCTGCGACAGTGCCGAATGGTTCAAGTGCCTCAAGCGCATCAGCTCTCGTATCATCAACGAGGTCAAGGGTGTTAACCGTGTCGTCTACGATATCAGCTCCAAGCCCCCTGCCACTGTAAGTTGACGCTTAAGGAATAAGCATGATGATGATATTGGGTTATCTAACAGCACGTTACTTTGTGTAGATCGAGTGGGAGTAAACAAGACTTATACACTACTGCATACATTTCACTCTCTCTTTTGTTTTATATATTCATGCTGCATCCATCTTTTTCCTTTCAAACATAAAGCATGCTCTACTTGTACTACTGGAATATCGTTTTGTATTATAATGCATGAATGTGAATAGAATAACACTAGGTAAATGATGATAGATTATAAAAAGAGGGGTATACAATGTTGGGGGGAATCATCAACAATACGAGGATGCACAAACGAGTTTGCCCATGTAATATGATAAAACCATGGCCAAAATCACAACGGCCAGCTGTTGTCCATTAAACGTTAATTCGTCGGATATGATAATGATATTGTTGTTCTAAATGGGATTGATGTCAGTATCACCTTACACAAAAAACCATGCATAGTATGTACCTGTTGCTGGGGAATTAGCTTGTAACCTTCGGGTACAACGAGACGTTCTCGTTCAGTGGCTGCTATTGGAGATACTTTGGTGGTATTGTATTGCTGCTGTTGTTGTTGGTGCTGTGATCTCCTTGATATCAATTTGGGTGATTGTGCATTTCGTTTATGCTGCTCAGCAGTGAAAAGATGGGGTGGGGTATCGGGCCGAGATGGCTGTGATAGAGTGATTTTTCCAACAACCGATGCACGTCGTCGATCAGTCGATATTGAGTGTTGTTGTTGTTGTTGTTCTTGTGGTGATGGTGAAGGTGTTGGTGTTGGTGTTGGTGGTCGTTCTCGTTGTCGACCTGGTGACGATGATGATGATGTTGATGTTGTTATGGCTGAATCATGTGATGAGTCGATTGGTACTGAAGATGGTGAAGGAGGTTTGTCAAGGATGGTATTGATTGCAGCTTCTCTTGTAGCGGTGGGCGATTTTATCTCTGCACTTTGAGGTGGAGTAGGCACAGGATCGGGTGATGGTGTTCTTGCTGTTATTGCTGTTTTATCGTTGTTGATGGCTATCCTTGGTATAAGAGATACGCCGTTACAGGTATATTGATGATCAATCCCTGGCAAAATGCGTATTGACACATGTTGTCCTTCCATGTCAGAGGATGTTGTATAGATACGAATGCTCGTTTTTGAAGACGTTATCTCAACACGCATCCCATTTTCTGGTGATAGAGTCATGTTGACGCCTGCTGGATACCTGGAGCTGTTGTGGATACGAATATCAGTGCACCATCGTTGTTGTTGTTGCTGCTTGTTGGAGGATGCTCTTGTGTTCAACTCATGCTTGGCAATGTAAACCACATCATATTGTCCAGAGTCACTTTCAAATGACTCACGAATAATCTTGCCAGCCACTCGTCGAATGTAAGGGGGACAACCATATTGATCCATGTAATTTCCCAGCTCCTTTATCAATAATGGCTGATGTTGCTGTTGAAAATTGCTTATCCAAATCACATTGACAGCTCCTTCATTGCTATTTGGCTTGAACACCCAACCATCAATTCGCTCCACTGGTTCTTTTGTTGAAGAGATAGAAGACGTAGCTGTAGTAATAACGCCTGAGGAAAGATCGGTATCAATGCTGATGATGGCATTAAAAGTGCTCGTTGCCAAGGAGGAAAGAGCATGCGACCATTCAACAAGATAATCCCTTTGACTGAAACGCTCAACAATGCGACCATCAATAAATTGCTTATCCCCTAAACAATCCTGTTAGTTGATTTCACTACAATGACATCACCCACTTACATATTTTACGTGCCCCAAAGCAATTTACCACTGAACAAAGCTGCTCAGGTGTCCATTCACCACGAATAGTGCCATCCATACGTGAAGCATGCAATAGAGATACGGAACATTGTTCATTCATAGCATAGACTTTGATACCATTATTCTCGGAGGTCAATGTCCATGGTTCCAAAGACGATGTCATGCGCTTGACTAGGTTCAACGCCTCGGCTTTTTGAGATGGGAAGCGGTGTGGGAGATAAAGTGGCTGTCGTTTCTTGACAAGGCTGGTGGAATTTTCACTCGAGTTGCTCAACGAGCTCTCAGAGCTAGGATTGATGCTGGATTCAAAGAGTGGCGTAAAAGTGACATCTTGAGTTGTGGCAAAGAGTGGTGGTCGATTTGTAGTGGATGGATCTGAAGAGGATGGTTGTTGTTGTTGTTGTATCCCTGAAGGGGTTCTATAATAATAAGATTAGATCTTCGTTATCCAAGAAAAGAAAGAATAGGCTCATCATGATGCTTACTGATCCATAAGAGAGGGTCTGCGTATTGATTGAAAGCGCTCAGTATTTGAAGATTGGTCACTCGGAGCCACCTTGCTTGAACATGTACCAGCACCACCACGCATCTTTGTGGATCGTATCCTTTCAGCTTTCTTTTGCAAATAATCATTCACCAAAGCAATGACCAATGGACGGCGTGCGAGAGACTTTTTGGCGAAACCAGACATCCAACCCTTCATGTTCTCTTGTATCACGTAGGTTACTCGTGTAGTAGGAGTCGGACCACGAATAGGTTCAAGCACCCAACCTTGCAACTGGTAGTAGTAATATCAATCTCAGCTCATCGATGCATAGAATAGTAGCAGCTTTACCTTGATTTGAGCTCGAACACGACCTTGGATACGAGGAACACGTGGTGTTTCAACACTTGTGCATGCAAACATGATAGCACCATCTCGAGTGCATTCAATCTTCTCCACCAATGCCATATCACGAGGACGATTCATGCTATTGGCACAAAGGCTGACACAATCAATTTTTAGTATGGTTGCACAATGTCATTCATGCTGCTGCTGCTGCTGCTTCTATACCTTGATGTAGGCTTGGAGACTTCATACGTCAATGATGTCGTATCATTGAGATTCTCGACCAAATTGCCATCATCGTACCTATAGATTCATGGATACATGAGTGCTTGCCCCTCCATGCCTTTTATGCAAATGATGATGCTTACTGCTCATCCCAAAGTTTGCGCATGCCAATAACGTAAAACACAGATTGCGGTGAAAATCCATGAATGACAGCTTCCCCCTTGAAGATGGGAGTCTTGTCATTTTTAGCACTTTTCATGTGTACCACCACACCACTCTTTTTGTGCTTGAGAGCCTTTTTCCAACCATCATGTGCATCTTCACGAACAATCTGTTTGAGTGATGAAAGAGCTGACTCGGCTTGATGGATATGATATGCCGTTGATGTAAGCAAGGGGTCAACAAATCCAGATGTGGCGTGTGCCATCGATGCAAGTGAAGGTACAACAGCGTTATCGTCGTCTTCGTCGTCACTAAACAGTGGGCTGAATGTCGCGTTCTTGCCATGACTCATTGTGCAAGGAATCTCTTGGGTTGAATGAGTAACGAAGAAGAAAAAGAAATGACCCAGAACAAGTCTCGGGCCGAGAATAAGGAAAGAGTAAAAAAGTGAGTGTGTGTGAGAGAGAGAAAGAGAGAGAAGGAAAAGAGACAACACACATAAGCCCACACATACACACTTTGAAGATCAAGCATCAAAAAATGTCATGCACCGAACCGACGCCATTGTGACACCTCCAATCACCCTCCTATCATACTGCAGTCCTTGTTTATCATTCGCCTATGCATGTCTCCCATGACCTACTTCTTTTTTCCTTCAATTTCTCAGGAGACAGCAGCCACCGTAGCAGGGATCGTAGCACAATTCCCCACAGAATAAGATATCAAACAACAACAAATAAATCCTCCTTTTACTTCTCAACAATGGATACACTCGCACTCCAATCTGCTGATACGTTTTAATGTTTATCTCTCCCCCAAATAATCCATTCTTATTGTATTGATCCGATATCCAGCATCCTTATCCATTGATGTATGCGAATGGGCCCTGATTCAGGAGACATCCGGTTCAGATAGCAAACCAACGACGATGTACATACATACGTTTGTTGTTGATCATCATAATGACAACGCCTGTCAATTTACAATCGTGGCAAATAAGGGATACTTTGTTCAATGATATGCACAATGATGATGATGCCACTTTTTATTTCTTGCCGTATTTACTAATCCGTCTCAAATGCTCGATAAAGCCACTACTTGCAGTACGATTGAAAGCCGTGAGCTGTTTCCTTCGAATCCTATCGACTTCATCCGACTCCCATTCAGATTTGGGGATTTCTTCTAAGCGATATCGAGTGACCCATTGCCAAGGCTTCCTCACAGCTGGCACAGGTTCATCGCCGATGACAGGTTCGTCGTTGACGGTTGATTTGATATGAAGTATGTATTTGGTCACCGTATCGGTTTGGCTTTCAGTCGCAAAGAATTCATCAGCAACATCTTCGGCGGGCGGTGCTCCTGGTTTTGGCAGTTGCTCCACCCAGATACCAAGCTTTTGATTTGGTGCTCCTGATCCAGCATAAAAATAAAGCCGAAGTGTCTAAAAGCAAATCGCGGCACAGTTACACAAATGTCTCAAGGGGGCAATTGCAGCACTACTTACCCTTTTGGGATACTTTTTCGTCGCCACATCAAGGATATGATGGAACAGCTGTAATGTTCTATCCAGCACCATATCACCCATATGCGTATTGCCGAAAAGTCGTGTTGATATCTCTTCTCGCGAAATGTATTGGAAGCCAAAGATTTGTTGTGTATTGTGGTAAGCGACCAGTAAGCCGTCCATGTTGCCAATCCGCAGCTGGAAGTTGTATTTCAAAAATGCAGAACGCATCATGTCATAATACTCCCGCTCAAAAGATTCATACAGGCCGTGTGAACGTCTCA